GCTCACTGATTATACTGACAAGAGATCAGTGGCCTGTCTCAGGAATTGTTCATTTGAGCTACGGCTCTTCGCCACGGCAAACAGACAGATAAAAAAGAAGCCCTAGCCACAAAAATACCCAATTCAAATATGAGGCTGCGAGCAGGCGGGTCGGAATAGCGCCCTCTCCTGGTTACGCCATTGCGTGCTGACGGGAGGCGTTTACATATTGTGCCAGTGTGAACCTGGGTTGGTCCCAAGGACAGCCGAGGAACGAAAGTTGAGGAAGCCGTGTGAGAAAACGATCCCTCGAAATGTGGTTAGTATCGTACTTTAACAATTAAGCAGCTGTATTAAGATTTGTGTTCATTCCTAGGATGTTTTCGTATTATGAGATCATTGTAAATTCTTACGTTCAGCTGTACCTCAGTATTTTTACTTTTTGCTCTCTCTCTCTCTCTCTCTCTGTTCTACCTTGTAATTACAGCTAGCCGCAAATGAATATTCCTGTGACAAATAAGGAACCAGGCAATGTATTACAGGCGTTTGCTTCTGCCTAGTAGCCGCCATTCATCACCCCTTATTCATTCTGTAAATAACTGTGCTTCATTATATTTTTATTGTGATGTATCATGTTATCAATCAACTAACCAACCAACAGTCGTGACGTTCATCATGCAGTCAATAAATTTGATCCAGGAAAATCCTGTCACGGTCCTGTTGCTGTCTGCGTCTGAAACCGTGGATTGTCCAGCTGACGAGGAGTCCCTTCAACCCCCCGGCTAACCTAGATACTGTTTCGCGTGCACGATCAAGCATCCAGTAATCGTCTGCTTTTGCTCGGATAGTGAAAACTATTAGTGTCTCGTTGGGAGATGCAAGCTAAGACCAGTGTGATTCCACCCGCGACCTCCGACTTCTTGATGCGACTGGACACTTGGAATTTAGCTCAACTTGACACCGTGGACTTTGACTGAAAACAAACTAAATTTCTATCCAAGTCCTGGATAGAGGTGAGGGAAACTATCGTGTATAGTTAACAACAGAATGCTGATGTACAGTACAGTAGCCATTACTTTCAAATAAATATTCAAAGATGAGTATCAGTGAAGTTGTATGGGAAACTTAACAGATTGTTTCATTTCATGCATTTTAATTAACATTCACACGAGAAACAAGACTTTTCATATTGATAATATGGTTAAATTCAGTCACTTTTGTTGTAGCTCGAGACAAAACATCGGTCGTGACTTATTTTTCTATTTTGATTTTTGATTCGCGGACACGTTTTAACAATGCCTTCCCTCGTAAACTTTTGCAATCTTTGTCATTTGACGTAATCGGGAAATTGCCAAGGAGAAGAACAAAGTAAAAGAAAGATTGAACTCGTACAAGAAAAACTTGCAGGGCAAAAGTCTGGAGTTCATTGCAAACCATTTAAAGTTGTTTTCAAATCAATTGACATAGACTCAGGAAAACACCAGAGGAAAAACAGGAAATACAAGTACAGACTTGTCAACCGCAAAACCAACATGCTGAACAATTTAATGCTTCAATTGTCGGCTGATCACATTTAAACTGATGCTCAGGAATTTGACATTCGACCGCAAAAAAAGTATAAAGTCGGCATGAAGTCGACAAAGGACAGTAGGGGTGACCTTGGTGAGTCTAAGGACAGGCGTGATTATTGGGGCTACAAAGCCTGACAGCTATTTACCATCGACACCCGACGCTTGGAAAGCATGGTTCCCCTTGGCTGACAGGAAGCTACGGCCGTGACTGTCCAGTGCGTGGAATCATGTTAAAACTTACAAAATGGTCTTCTCTTAACCCTCATAAGATTTTCTGGTGTAGGTTTTGTTTTGTTTGGATTTTTCCCCAGGTTTTGGTTTTTTTTATTTATTTGTCTTTTTCTTTGTTTTGTCTGTTGAGTTTTTCGTTGGTTTTATTGTTGCTGCTGCTGCTGTTGTTGTTATTTTGCTTTTTCTCATTTTTTAAATTTTATCTTATGGGGGGCTGGGTCTGTAGCCTATCTTACCTCTGGAACCCGAATCCATGCCTCAACGTACTTATACTGCAGAAAAAGTTATCGGGAACGTGGATGCAAGCCTGCTTTGTACATACGTAAATTTTCATCTCAGTCGGAGAAAGCATCATGCAGCTCTGTATGGTCCTTAGAAAGAGCAAAGTGTGATATTTCTCGAGCATGATCAGTTACAATATTCCCCAACTAGAGCCGAACCACAAGCATGAGAGCCCCCCCTCCCAAGTCACGAGGGTCGGTCAATGGGATTAGAAACCAAGAGTACAACAATATACGAGGGCCAATTCCACCCCACAATGATACAGGCCAACTATTTGAAGAAACTGCGAACTAATTTTGTCATCGGCCTGCACATTGGGCAACATAACTGACAAACCAGCCCCCCCCCCTCCGTAGAACAACAGTTACGCTCGTTTGGAAATTTCATAGCGCGGGGGATAACTTGGGGGCGCGATGCTATTTCAAGTTCACGCCTTCAATAGTTTGCGAGTAAAATTTGAATAAATCCGGTACACTGATTTTTTCTGATTGTATTATAAACATAACAAAAATTCCTCAGACTGATGACACTGTTGCTATACCTCGTGATTCAGGGCAAGCTTTTGTATAGCGACCACCATCTCTGGAATGGACTGGTTCCTTTGTGCCCTTCTTATCCATTAAAACAATGTATTGGTGCAAGGCGTCTCTTAATAGTGTAACCAAGCTAAAGCCTGCCTCGAATCACGCGGTATAGCAACAGTGTCTTCAGTAAGGAGAATTCAAATTGTTATGTTCATGTCGATTTATAGAACTCTTTCTTTTAGTGTACCAGATTTTATTCAAATTTTACTCGTAAAAGGCTTATTCAGTCATGTCGCATCCTCTGCTGAAGAGGTGAAGCGCAGTGCCATCGATAGCAAGCCATACTTCTAGAGTCGTCTCGAAGACAGCTGCGGACTTCCTTGTTTCTATTTGTTGTGTTGCTGACACAATTTGTATCGTTCTTTATGCTGTTTCTGTCGTGATTTGATTGCTTTTAAATTTTTTCGGGTCTTTACGTTTCTATAAGAATATAACATAAACAAATACGTTAAGGCTTGTAAAAATGAAAAAAAAAATTGTAGAAAAGTGTGTATAACCTGTTAAAATTGTACTGAGAGTAAAATAAACCACTTTTATACCCATTTACAAATCCTGAAAATTTAACTTTGGTCAATAACAGTGACTGAGAAGTGTTGCGGTAGACTGCAAGTGAACTTGTTGGAATGCTGTGACTGCTTCATCTATACAGACTGAAGAATCTGACTTGATCTGAAAACAGACTGACCTAACTAAATTGAACTCTGCCGAACTCTCTGCTGAGGGGATTGAACTATAGGGTTGAACTTACAAACTGTTCATGAGGTGGGGCTTAGAGGGAAACGGGATGTAGTTCCAAGAAGAATGGAAAATCTTGGTGTGATTATCAGAAACAGTGAGTGTGAATGAGTAATATCATCCGAGAACAATGATCCTGATGGTAAGAAAAACGTCACTTCCAAAAGTGACATGTAAGCTTTTAAAGGTCACATGCCTCGTGATGAGAAACAATTCACTTATACATGTAATGTGTACAGTAGGCCGATATTTATACGAGGAAAAGGAATGAGTAATGCATCAAATAACTAGCAATCAGCACAAATACTGAGAACAAAATGTTCTTTACGTTATACTTATACCTGTGGAATGTTTCCCGTCTAAAATTCGGATACCTGAATAATTGAAGCTATTGTATAGAAACTGCTACACTACAATAATGCAGTTTCATTACCGGCAATCGCAGATCTTTTATGCTAAATAAACATATCACAAAAAGGAAGTATTCATTTTTCAGTTTAGATTTTGAATGTCTTCATGAAGAGAGAAATGGTAGACGGTAAGTCATCCTTCATTACATGGGCATGTGGGCTTTCCTTGGTAGCCATCCTGCAGTGCAGTTCTGTTCCTTGGAGAAACCTCCTTTGTGCATACCCTGTGGAACAAAACTTTGGCCTGCAAAATGGCAGCCATGCAAACCCTCTATAGGGCTGAGTTCACTAAAGGAAACTCTGACAAATGAGATAAAAACATGTGCGGAAGGAAAAACCGGTCACACGTAATATGTTTTTAGGGATTCTGAAAATTAAATGCCCAGTCCTACAAAAAAGTGGATTCTTTCTTTTAGTAGAAAAAATTAAAAGCAGCTTGTGTTGGGTAGAGCTTGTGTGTGACAAGTAACTATAATTTCCGCCAACCCTTGCCATACAAAAACCGCAGTTGGGAAGTACAATAAGAGGAAGTTGTCATTGTAAATTTCGAACAGCGAACGCATCTGTGATACAAATGTATGTAGCGAAAATAAACATCACGCCATGTGCATCGCTTCCGCAGTGTCACTCGAACTCTTCGTGTGGAGGCGTGTAATAGAGGGGGTCGCATTGTAGTTCGTGGTTCAGTTGTTTTGTCGCGCAGCCGAGTTTTGACCAGTGCTGTCTCGCGCTGGCTCGCAAAATTTGGCTTTATTGCCGGAATCTTTTTCGAATACAGTTGCATTAACGCCGAGGGCTTACGATGGTAAATCCCGCCGCGAAGATCGTCGTCTGCCTGGCGATTCTGCTGCTCGCCGTAGTGTCTATTTCAGGTACGGACCATTTTGTACTCTAAGCCCAATTTCATGGAGCTGCTCGGGAGGAAAGACTGAACAGCAAAATTATCTGGGCGCTAATCTGAAATGAACTTGGGTATCCCAACTTAGCATCAATGCATGTTACGCCCGAACTTCTGGCTGTCCGCGCTAGCACCCATTTTGATGCAGGATATTTCAGAAGACAGCAAATTTGTACCCTGCAGCTGCACGATGTTCTTCCTGCTTGTTTATCCCGTTCTCTTTCTCACCGAAACTCGGCTCAGACATAAGAGGACTCGCCGCAGCTTATCCCGAGAGCCCTTGATCAGTGTGTTGATAAGTTGTGGTAACTGCATTAGGAATGGTCAATGTATATGCACACCAGTACACCCTCCAACGACGTGCAAGAGAGTGAGGGCACATTGCGGGAAACATTTGAGGCCGCCGTTCTTTTCAGACTCCCACCAAAAGTCACGAACATATTGAGTTTTTCTTGCCCTGCATGGTGTTACTGCAAGCTGCTTCACACTGTTTTCCCCGTATATGCATGCAACACTATAAATCTCTGCTTTGGTGATAACAATAACTATGGTGAAATTTCTTAGGGGGAACCCGAGGGTGCGACAAGATCTTAGTTACTTACATCTCCAAAATTTCAAATGTTGGGCACCCGAGGCAAGGACTTCCATTTGAATGGGGACATCCCCCTGGTAGTTATGCCAACTGATAGTAGATCACGATATCCCCAGCAACAATAGTTTTGATAACAGTAGGCCTATACTTAGTGAACGTAAAATGTCGTACTAATACAGCGGGAGAAGGCTGCCCAGAGCCCCCGCCGGTGGCCGGCGGGACGTACGAGTTCGGTGCTTATGCCAGACCTGGAGCTGACGGGCGCTACCCGGAACAATCCTTGGTTGTCGTCGTCTGCCTCAAAGGCTACCAACTACAAGGTATTATACTTTCGTTTCGGTGTATTATCCTGTCTAAAATTTCCATCTGGCCCTGGAGCTTAAATAGGAACAAAATAATAAATGTAACATTGTTCAGAGATCTGGGATAGCGGAGCTTGACACCCTGCGAATCGCACAATGGTGTCAGTTGATTGCAACATGAAGTATGTAGTGCGATTGTATCTACCATCCAAATCTATTATGACCTTACACATGTCAATACGCAAGCTCCCCTATAAAGGATGGAAACTTTTAACTACCGATAATCGATGAACATGTATGTAAGGTATTTGGTGTACAGCGAAATCAAAAAGTGGGAGAACACAAGAAAATTGGCAGAACAAAATCTTTTCTTTAAAAGGTGGCGATTCAATCATCTCTTGTAACGAGAATGGCGAGTGGTCCGCATCACCGAAATGCCAAGGTAAGTGCATCAGAAACAGGGTTTTTTTTTGTTCAAAAATCAGCCTCTTTTGCACAGACATCTTTTTCGAACGGTGCATCTCAACGGAACTATATACAGAAGGCCAGTCACGCAAGGCCTTGATGGAACCTGATTTAGAATTCAGATGGCCATTGACTATAATTACCCCTCGATGCAAAGGGTGTCGCCAGGGTATTTCGTTCCCAGGGTGAGAGCAAAGCACTTTTTCCGGGTCGGAAATGGGGGGCCAAAGCTCTTAGTAGTTGAATAAGAGTCAATTTCCAGATTTTTTCTAGCAGATTGGTGATTTTCATCCCCTCTCCTCTCCTCCCCCCCCATTATTAAAATCTTAGTTTTCATTTTTTTTTCCGGGTCGGGGCGAGCGCCCACTTGCTCCCCTCGCGATGCTAGTTGCTCAGCACCCGAATTTGTGAGCAGTGACTGATTCTACAGCCATGACTAGCCCTTGCCTTCCTTTCCCGAAGTTAGTGCTTGTCTAAGACACGTGCCGCGGAAGCACCCCCCCCCGCACAAACACACCTTTCGACTAGGGAGTAATCCCCCCCCCGTCCTTAGCAGGTTCTTTGATGGCTGATACCTGATGGTCTCACAAATGCCCCCCACTTTGAAAGTCATTCCGCCACAATAGTATCTAAGGGCGACCCATCACTCTCCACCCCACATCTACCCCCCCCAAAAAAATGAAATCCAAACGTAATATTTGTTTTCTACCAAATGTGTAAGTCTGAAATTGTTTAGAATGTTATCTAAGTTTAAGACTTCTTTCAAATTTGATGGTGCGTTGTGGAGATAATCTAATTTAAAATACCAGACTGGGTCATTCTTTTGTTATTTCTCGGGTAGTGTCAGTTTTAACCTTTTAGAGCGAGGGGAAGGGATTTGAGGGACAAGTTAGAAAGATGACGCCGTGTTCCTTGTGTGAAAACGGTGTATTTCAGTTAGAGGCTGTTTGAGACCAGCGAAGCCCTGGAATGGAAAGGCGGTTCGATTTAAAGGGGGCCGTCGAGTAGGCGGACAGGCCGTCTTTAAGTGCAAGCCTGGATTTGACCGAGTCGGCCCGGCGAGAAAGACCTGCACCGTGACACCACGGGGCGTAGAGTGGACTGGTCCCGGTGGGATCACGGAATGCGTAGGTAAGAACTTGAAATGCCGCGAATAAGCAGTTGCATTAATTTGTGACCGGGAGCTTGTTTTATACACAACACGCTGGGGATCGGGAGGGGGGTGGGGAAACCCGACTTGAATAGAGGCTAAAATCGTCGCGCGGGAGGATTGTTTACTAAAGGTATCGGAAGTCCAGCATTTCAATAGGGAAGCTTCCATGAGGTGTCAACACTGGTTGCCTTCTCATGAACCATTTTCCTCTAGGATAGTACATGGTGTGTCTCCAGACAGTTATGTATATTGGCAAATTTGATCAGCGGCAATTTGTTAACCACTGGTCGATTTTCCCTGATGCCCGATATAAATTGAATCGACCACTGGTTGACTATTTGTCGCTGATGGGTAGTGGCTTCATCCAAAACAAAATTGTCCTTCCATGGAAATTCGAAAACGAGGAGAGGGAGATTGCTGGACATCACGCGACATTAGGTAACGCTGTGTTACAGATGCTCGCCACACTTGCACTCCCCCCCTTACATAAGAACAGCGTATTTACAGCATTTTCTCATTTCCTCTTTCCAGTACTACTGAATAGGCCTACATTTTAATTGTTACGAACTCTGCCTTTTTTCTCAATGATTTTTTTCACTTTTAGTTTCATTTTAATATTCATTTATCAGATTTTTATGATAATATTTATGTATCAAATACTAGCACCAAAACCCTGAGAAAACAACACCATTCAATAAAACTTAGGATTTCTGGACCGTGAGCGAGGCTTTCGATATTTTGTCTTGTCCAACATCATGTCAAATAAGTCAGAAGCCGCATTCCCTTTTGAATCCCCCCGTACCAAAAGCTGGATACTTGCGCTACTTGTGTAGGCCCACCTCAAGGACGTTACTTGCCTAGCTCCCACGTGTTATTGCTAATCATGGGAAAGGTTTTGTACTTTCGCATCATGCGAAAACGCATCATCTGAGAATAAAACCTGCATGGGCTGCAATGCAAGACCTTTTCTTGTGAAAATTACACACACTCTTCAATATCAGAAGGTCCGATTAACTATAAGAAGTATCTATAGCCGCCGGTTAAACTAAGTCAGTTCTTTCTCGCCATGGAAACAAGGTTACATTCATGTCAGTTCGGAAAGCGGTGAAATTCTCTCCAAAGAATGAAAAACCCACTCTGAAAGAGTGAAAATCACTCTGAATGAAGATCCATATAAAGGAAACTCATTTTCGAGTTGTCGTTTGTGTGGCTCCTTGGCAGAGTGGAACTTCACTCTTTCGGATATGTCTTCACTCTTTTTGGAGTGATTATAATTGTGAAGGACTCACTCTTTTTGAGAGTGAAATCTTCACTTGTTTGCATTTAGAGAGATCGAGGCACTATAAAGTAAGATCAGGGCCTAAAGAACATTTCCCTGGGAAACAGCAGTGGAAGTGAAAAAAAACTTATTTCATTTTGTCTGTTGGGTTTTATGAGGATTGAGAAGCAACAAATTTTAGTCTCTGCTGAGTTGTGTGCGGACTTGGTGCCCATGCCGAGTTGAAGTATCAAACCATGCCGCGCATTTCCATGGCAACACATGCAGTATCCAGTCCACCGTTCATGTTGTTCTCCCGTAACGTGCGCCCTTTACTGTACATTCACACCAACTGGCAAAGTCAATCCAGAGCTGGAAAGGGTAACAATCCTCTCACGCAGCGACATTCTGCATGAAGGAAAATGTCTGGATTACACTGTCTGATACTGGTACCCTGAATCCCCACGTACAGGAATATTAACAGTTGCACCACTGATCTACACACCACACGACGATATGCAGTTTCTTTCCTGGCTGGCTTCCCTGAAGTATTAACAACTGATGAATCGAAATTTGTACCAATGTATATATAATCTGAGCTGTAATCCTATTTTTTTGTCTTGGACATGACAAAAAACAGCGCGAAACAGCTGCAGGAGTCCGGGTGTTTTGCACGGCGCCAACTGGACACTGATCGAATCGGACAGGAGAAGCCACCACGAGGACCCAACCTTCAGTCCCAACACCAAGATCAACGTGGAGTGCTGGCCGGGCTTCGTCTCAACGGAAGGCCCCAGTGTGCAGATCGCATGCGGAATGTCGGGCGAGTGGAGCCCACCCATCCCAACCTGCCGCGGTGAGCTAATGTTGCTGCTCATTAAACGCAGACGCGCGATAACCGAATGCAATAACAGAAAATGATGCACGAAGCACGCATGATGTTTTTAAATTAAAGCCTGTTTTTGAAATCGACGTAAATACACGCAGACGGCATCGCCAATCATGCAGTTCCGACGATACACAGTCATACGGAAACACAATAACCATTTTAGGTTTGGGGAAGTAGATTTATACTTCTTCAAGAGAATAGCAATGAGGTTTCTTTGACTGATGCCTATTTTTTATTAAACAGAGGTGATATGCCCATCGCTTCTTGAGAGCGAAGCAGACATTGACCATCTGCACAGTACCATGGAAAACAGGACTTACATACTGGGAGAGGTAGTGAATTACCACTGTGATGCAGGCTATCGCATCCTTGGCAAGACCCGGAGGCAGTGTTCTGGACCGAATCTGTACTCTCCCAACCGGACTTGGACGGATCTCGATCCGATCTGCTCAGGTACGTCCTTGGTATACGGGTTGTGCGGCGAGAATATTGGGCGGGCCCTCGGCTCAGTGATTTAAAACTGGGTTCACATTTCTAAGACCTGGTAGGCCTATCATATTCGAACGGGCGACCTGGTAACTTCAGTAACATACTATGTGGCGTGATGGGCCCTGTACACGAATCACTGTGTATCACAAAACCGAAGGAATTGTATTCCGAAATTAAAGGTGTCCGTGTGGCTGGAAACTTCTTTGGAGGAAAAGAAATTGACTGGAACAAAATAAAAGCAACAATACACCATGGCAAATTTCACAATCCAGTGTCTGACACAAGACATTTTGGGGGCCGCGGTGGAAGAATAATGTGTGTTGATTAATTATTCCCATTGAAAATAAATCGAAATCACTGAAGACCCACGCATTTCTGTTTTTTATGCAAATGAATATCTGAAAGCTCCTTGAGTCTCTTCTATCGGAACTATACCTTTGAAAGTGTTCCGCTGACCACTGGCCTCTCGTCACTAATCCAACCGTTCAAAGTTTCGAACTTTCAAAAGTATTTCACTGACAGTGGCGTAAGTTTGCGCTGGAAATCGGGGGAGGGGTGGGGAAAGGTGGGGCGACTTGCCATGAACATTTGAAAAGCGAGGAGGGTGGGTGACATCATATGACTCTATAAACAGGTCGATGTTCATGATATTGATGTACATCTGTTGGGTGATGGCATAGATTTTGTGGTTTGTTTTCCTCTTTTGAGTGATATTGAATGCATTTTAGTCGTTGGAAGTCTGAAAGAAGTTTCATAATCCGCTTTAATTTGTTGCTCACCACAAAAAATGGGGAAGGGGTTATATACCCCCCCCATATCCCGGGATATACGCCCATGTTCACTGGCGTGTTCCTGAGGAGAGTAGTCAGCTTTGTTTCAATGGAATACTGCAAGACCCCCCACAGAGCGCGATTTTTCTGTACAAACAGGATAACCGCAGGGGTCTGAAGTCGGTAGAGTAAATAATACATTGAACAGTATGTGCTGCAACATGCGCTCTCCGAAAACCTATGGGCAAAGTTAACGCAGATACGAGTCCCAATACTTGCCCAATCCTTTCCCAATCCCCAGAAAAGGTGACACTTTTCTGGGTCTAAATAGCCCCCCAAAATGTCATATTGACGCGGACAAGTGTCATTTCGACCTTGAAAAAGACTGCGCAAATCATGGCCGACATCCCCAGAGAGTTTAGACTATTTAAATATTTGCGATTTTGTCTAAGTTTCCCTCGTCACACAATGTAATGACATCAGGAATTGCCGGTAAGTACAACTGTTTGTGTTGTTCAGGGCTATCACGAACTAACGTGGATATCGTGGATAGTTCCTGCACCACAAATTGTGATATCGTGTGTACAAAGTCTACGGACGGTACGTGCACCAAAACTATCGTATACGTCACTTCGTGGTGTAGCCAATCATCATGCATATAAGGGCGTTCCAATATATTTCCACATGCAGTTCTGTTGTAGTGATGAAGTTTTGTGTCTGACGCTTGACTACTATGTGTCATGCTCTTAAGCATTGATTAAAACCTCAAATCTAATGCAGTCTCCGAAACTGAGACATGGCGTGATGCCATTTTGTCCAAAAAAAGGCTACAAGTATTTGCGATGTTTCGCTCAACAGAAATTGAATGCCCAGACCCAGGTCGTATCCAGTTCGGAGGCAGTAGGTACTTAGGGTCTACAAGAATTGGAGGAAGCGTAACTTTCCGATGCCGGTCTGGCTACAGACTCCAAGGATCGGCGGTCAGGCATTGCCTACCTAACGGGAGGTGGAATGGAACACTCACAACATGTGATCATGAAAGTGAGTTTTCAAATTTTCAAATGCTTGGGTGAAAGATATAGATTTTGAGTTTCAGAAATCCACCGTGTCCTGCGCAGGATTCAAGAACGTGTCGTGGTGACAAAGAACAATTTTCGGTAACACCACTTGGTGATACCGGTGGATTTTCCTGGTAACCTGTGCACAAAATATACCCTGGATACCAGGCAAAATCGACCAGTCGTTGACCAATTGTTGTCTCTGGAACTTGCGGTTGAACCATTTGAATCAGGTAGACAAATAGATCATTGGACTAATAAGGCGATACTCACTAAATCTGTCAAATAATAAGAAATTGTCAGTCTGGCTTCACCAGTCATAATGACTGACTGATTGTTACCAGTATTTTAGATACCCTGTTCGCCCGGTCAACATGCAAGGTTCTTTTTCAACCGGAAAAAAGTAAACAAACAAGAGCGCCAACCAGTTTTCGAGCCCCAACTCTACGTTCGAATGACCCCCACGTTTGTTAATGACCAAGCTGACGGATGGAAAGTCGACTATGCATTTACCAAAATACCTGTAGCTCCATGCACTTCGCTGAGAAGGTTCGTTCCCTCGTCAGATTTCTACTGCCCGAATCCCGGCATTCCTATCGGCGGGCGAATGGTCAACCAGCACAGGGTGCGTTTCCGTAAGGGGGAGCGGGTGTCGTACGAGTGCAGCAGGGACAAAGTGTTGATAGGCTCGGAGGAGAGAGAATGCCTCAAGTCGAGAAGCTGGAGCGGGGAGCCGCCGACATGTGAAGGTGACTCTCTGTTTCATGTTTAATTCAACCGATCAGAGAGCTGGCTCATGATGTCGCTGAGGTCATCACATTTTGTCACATCTGGGCATTACATGAAGATTTTACGGGGAAAACCAACATGCCAGGAGCAGATTCAAAGGGGAATGGGGTCAACCCCCTGCTCTGACACCCAAAAATAATGATAAAACAAAATAATAATAACAATATTATAATGGGGCTATTATTTTTTACATCAGTAACAATATAATGCATTACCTATTTGTCTGCCTGTCGTTCATATTCGGACATAAAAATGTATCTCTAACGGGACTGACTCACCGCCGGAAAAAAATCCGGGATCCGCCCCTGAAATGTCCTACCCTTTCTCACTTGTAACATGTGTGTTTGCATGTAGTAATTTTTCAGTAAGACTTGTCTCCTAACAGGGCCTTACGACTTTGAGGACGCCAGCGAGGTAGCAGCGAGATTAGGATACACCTTGGACGGCCTTCCGACCGATCCTCAGGACTCTGTCTCCGAAACCCCGGGCCCTAGAGGCAGGTTCATAGATCTTGGTTACACAGGAGGGATGGACATCTACTTCGTCTTTGATGTATCTGGAAGCGTTAGAAACAGCATGGACGGCTTGACATCCAGCATTAACCTCGCCAAAGCTCTCGTCAAAAAGGTATTTATTCATGTACATGTACTCTGCACATGCCGGGGTGTAACATCAGTGTCATCAGAGGACCACACCAAACACTTTTTACCGGTGTTAAACTTGTTGGTGTTATTCAACACTTTGGGAGTTAATTTTTTACTTTTTTTTTTTACAAAGGGCTCGGTTAGGTTTCATTTTTTGTGTTACGAGCTGTCGATATTTCCTTCGTCGGCCGTTCACTGCTTCTTTGCAATTCATTGCTGTGGAAGATTGTTTTCAAAAGGGGACATTAAAGCGTCCGAAACTTCCATATGGATCAGCCGACAGCGCAGCGCCGTGATGGACCAATAGCTGAGATCCAACGACTGCGCACTATGCATGACGCAAGACGTGTCTCCAGCATTTGGTAAACAGTGGCGTGAATCTGTGGCGGAAATTGTGGGGAGTGGGAGATGGGGAAAGGTTGGGGGATGACTTGCCTGGCCATGAAAATTTTTAAAAGGGGGAGGGGGTGTGTCACCATATGACTCCATGTAGAGGTCGATGTTCATAATATTGATGTAATTATGTAATGTGTATTCAGAGAGGCATATTTATGGCTTTGTAAATTGTTTTCCTTTTTTTGAGTGATATTGAACACATAGTAGTCGAGGGAAGTCTGAAAATGCCTCACAATCTGCTTTTATTTTTGGTCACCACAAAAACGTGTCTGTGTGTATAGGGAGGTTATTCAATAGTCCACCACCCCACCTCAAAAAGTGAATGGGATATATACCCCCACCCCCGGGATTTACGCCCATGTTGGTAAATACATGGAAATAATGGCATACTAGTGTGACTGAAAAAAATGGCTTACTGCCCTGAGGCATGCAGCCTTTGAGTTGATATGTCCCTTGGTGTGTCAATCTTTTAGAGAGCATCTAAGGTGCTCCAGTGAACCTCCGTTTCCATTTTGTACATTTTGTCCATATCCAGATTGGTGGTTTGGATGGTCCTCGCCGTGCTCGTTACGGCGCATGTGTGTATGCAACCAACGCTCTTTCGCTTTTTGGAGTCTCCGACTCTCAGTCATCCGTGAACACCTTGCTTGAGAACATGATCAAGAATCCTCAACACATTCGGGATCTAGGTAAACTGGTGCTTTTCACGCGAAGAACTGCATGTGCATTCCTGATTCAACCATGACGGACCATTATACTCAATAAATGATTTGCCGTTAGGGCAAGTTCGACCGACGTCAACAGAAAGATTGATGCATGGTTGGACTTTATAGTTACGTTTGCCCAACAGTGGCATATTACTAGTTATTATTGCTCTTTCATAACCTGCCTATATATAAGTACAGAGGCAATGTGCCCATCCCAGTGCCCAGTATTAGGGCGGCCAATATTTGCAGACAGTTCATTCAAGTTTGGTAAACAAATTTGCCTCAAAATACCCATTTGTTTCTTCAGAGTCGAAATGGCAGGTTTTTTTTCACTTAGTATTCAGTAGAAGTATTTATGAGCTGATGGCTAAACATTTGCGCAAGATTTGTGAATGGTTATTCTGGTTATGCTCTGACAGCTTGCCATAGGTTTGACTGGTTGGCAAAACTGAGCTTATGACACAGGCAAAAGGTCGGTCTATTGTTCGATACTGACCACTTTTGAACAATTAAAAGCTGGTATCACGCCCCCCAATACAAACTCTGTTCCTGGGGTTGAAATCCAGATTTATCCTCAATCAAACTACCCTGTATGGTAACTCCACTTTTACATATGCAAAATTATAGAAATACAGGGTTGAGAATCTTCAATTTATATATGTATATACATGTATAGTGGAAATAATTGTCTCTCGTGACTTTTTTTCAACGTCCGTTGTCGGTGCCTCCTTACTTCAGGCGAAAGCGAAACGAACGTGAATTTAATATTAGCACTGCGAATTCGCAAAAGTGGAGCACATTTCATCTTGCGCGAAAGTTCCCTGCAATTCTTTCATGACCTCAGATTCGCTTCGCTTCGGCATTTTCCTGTAGTATGAACCGACCTTCACGTACGCAAAATACAATGGACGCATATATATCCGGTTCGTAAGTGTGACGTCACTTCAGTTTAAACCACGCCCACTGCACACAGAGTTACATGCATTGATCGCCGTTTACGTGGGACAATGGAACCGGAAGTTAACGCGCAACTTCAGCGATCGTCCAACGGGAGCCTGCAAAACGTGGTGCGCCTGCCCTTGTGACGAAGTCACTTACGAATCGGATACAGGCAAATTAAAGAAATATGGAAAGGGCTGCGTAGCACCGTGATTAGAATATCGACAAGAATACAATATCAAATCAGTGCTCTGAAATATATGATTGCAAAGCTTTCGATAAATGAGTACCTTCTTCCGGGTAGGCAGATTCAGGGCAAGCAGATTCAGTAACCGAAAGCTCGGCAATCACATGTTTCAGAACTCTGATTTGATATTATATTCTTGTCGATATACAGACAAATTAGACGCCGTTACTGTGGTAGCACAACGCTCCCATGAATTCCTAGACAGGTGGTACGCGCGCGTTACATGCCTCTTCGACCAATAGGGTGTCGTGATTTGCTAAATGCACATGCGCGCGCGTGTATGGCGTCTAATTGGATTAATAGATATAACAGAGGGAAGTCTTAAAGTGATGTTCACAACGTTTACTTTCCACAGGAACTGGGACCGCTACTGGTAAAGCACTCCAGCTTGTCCATGAATTCATGATACCATCAGCCGGAGAAAACATACAAGAATCAAAGAAGTACCTATTCCTATTCACAGACGGTAAGAGGCCGGTAACAAGAATTGATCGGGGACCACATTTTGAGGGGAGGGTGCATTTAGGGTGGAGGCAAACAATTTGAAACTGTTTTTATGTATTATTTAATGCCTTGTTATGGGTGCATGACGCTGCAGTTGGGGGCGTTTTACATGTTTTGTGAAGGAGGGAAAATGAACTGGTCCACAAACTTTGATAAAGGTTTGATGTTTACAATAGAAGGTTGAATATATTCAAAGTATCAAAAATATCGAAGCAAACATTTCCTGCGGCATGCACCATTGCCCGGCAAAATTCCAGGTACCTCTCATGTATAAGTTTAATGTTCGAAATTATACTCTTCCTGTGATTATAGGCAAGACGAACATGGGTGCCAATGTTGCCCGACCCAAGACAGAAGCAAAGACCCTCCGCAAGAGGTACGATGTCAAAATCCACTGCATTGGAGTGGGCGACGAAGTCGATAAGAGTGAACTACGAGATATCGCCTCCAAACCGGTCAGCGATCACTTGTTTGTCGTCGAAAACGCTAACGATGTTTACGAGGTCGCCCAAAATCTTTTAGAACAAAAAATCGGTAAGTGCTTCGGAGGTCTGTGTTTTCCTACTTTTTAAATTTATTTTTAGAGTTCCGATTCATTTTGGGTCGTTTTGGTCGAGTGGCTGGTCGCCCAGTCTGTTCCCAGGCACAACGACGTCGCATTTGGTTTCTTCTTCGTGTCCGCATCTGGCTCCCTTAGGTCCACACGTAAACAAAGCGTCACGTCCTACTGATCGATTCGGGTGTGTGCATGGGGAGGGGGTAGTGTGTTGTGGGCCCGCCTTGCGATGACAGAATTATCTTTGACTGGCATTTTTTTTCAGGACCGTGTTGCTGGCGAGCAAAAAACTTACCCCATAACGAATTTGTGTCCATAATAACTTTCATTCTCCCAACACGCATGCAGTCCCCACAACTACAGTGCCAGTGAGTTCACGCGTGTTCTTTTACAGCTGTGGAGTGTTTTCTTCCACTCGCGCGCTACTTAGAGGATTTCCTATCTTAACAGTGGTCGTACTTTCAATGCGACCCGTTCTGGTTGCAGTTGGTATCTAACTTTTACGCCAGGGATCAAAATGGGCAATTGTTTGGAACGTGTGTTGAACTTTTTCATCCATAAAGACTATACACAGAGTGTAATCATATCGTTTTGTTGGTTTCGTTTGTTTTTGTTTGGTTTTGCTTAGAGGTTCCCTAAATTTGCTCTGCTTTGGTGAATCATTGCTGTGTAAGTACATGTATACAGAGCAGTAACTTGCATATGCAAGCAATCCACTGGTTCATAATTTCATTAGAAAAACCTATGCACTGAGGGGAGTCTTCCTGCGTTGACAACACATGCAGCAGTTGTCCAGGGGTGCTGGGTTAATTTCGACTAGTCAAAAAGGTCCACTTCTCAGTACATTTATTTAACCAAAATGGAGTCTCAGATATTATATTTCTCGCACAAGAGAAGGATATAAGTTGCAGAAAAATTGATTTCTGCTTCCCTTTACATTAAGACATGCACTTATGTAGGCTTACGCTACAGACAAATTTTGCAAGTTGGACCCAGATTATGCAAGAAGTAGAGATAAGGCTGAACTGTCGTCAATCCAGACGCCTTGATTTATATTACACATTATTGCCATAACAGATAACATCTCCCTAACGTAGTGATACAACTGTAACATGTTGCCGCGGTGGTTACATATGACAATTAAAATAATTGTCATTATTCGTATGTCAGCCATCTTGAATTGAAAGCGAAGCTAACTTTATCAAGGGCATCTGAGAATACACTGAAAGGAATGAAAGTACTTCAATAAGACTTCGTCACACGTCGTTGATCCTGATGAAGATTTTAAAATGTGTGATCTGAATGTTTTAAGCCACGTTTGAAAAAAGGAAAGTGCAGCCTGGAACCACAAATAGTCCGGCACCACACAATTTTTAGATTACAATGAATAAGATTACGCTATACTAAATACCCCCATATAGAAAACAGTGCAAAATCAGACCAAAAAAGCGCCGCCTGTTGACTCTCTGTTGAGGTTGGCCTCAGTTTTTTTCACTGGAAATTCAAGATTATGGCCAGAAGATCACTTTCCGTTCAATTTTATGGGGGTTAGCCACGAAGAAAAAATTTATTCGCCTTCCCCGAAGATACCCAGCAGCTCTGAATGTAGCCGCCTGCCCCAATCCGAAATAGGCCGGCAATTTGGGTCTTTTTGTGAAAGAAAAGCCCCGAACTGGAAACTACCATTCCCAAATTTGGGATTTACAGAAATATTTCTATGATCCCTCCTGATTATGGCATATCTTATTGTAAAACCCCCGTGGGATTACAAAATACAAAATGCAACGATTTGGTGAAATGCATCCATGAGATAGATTCTGGGTACATTGGTAAAATGATCTCCCTGTGAACAAGGTCTAGGCCTGATTCTTTCCCCTCTGTTTTTCAAAGTTCGAGGGAAATGTGTATTCTGAATTTTAGAATCAGGTCTATATTTCCCGACGCAGAGCCGGCTAGGCTTATAAAATAAAGATCATTGACTTCAATTAGTTTTTCATCGCATGCAAATAAAACCTTTTCTCAGATTACTCACGCTGTGGGCTCAACAGACCCCCAAAGACGCGTGCAACTGGAAGAATCGTCGGCGGGGACAATGCTCAACAGGGTATGTGGCCCTGGCAGGTGGCGCTGTTCTGTCAGAAAACGTCAGGATGTGAAAGCTCAAAATGCCCGGTGAGAACGACTCAGCTTACGAATTAAACTGTACTCTGCATGTTCGAGACCAAGGGGGCACTTACATGTAGTCTTGGGGCAAGACGCTACAGTTTAGTAACGGATTGGAACATCGCCAAAAGACAACGCTGTCACGAACCGTTCTCACTCACGAACCGCTGAAACACTGTAAACAGTGGCGTCTTCATTAAGATTATGGCGCTCTAGTCAATGATCTCAAACTCTGTACGAAACAAGATCTTGCTCTGCATGTTCTCACATTCTGGGCAGTTAACTTTTTACATTTGAACGCACACATTTTAATCCTCTTTTCATGGATTTTTTTCCTTTCTGGGGAGGGATGTTTGACGGTATGGCCCCACAACCTCGTAAATTTTGAACGAGTGGACCTCCAACACCTTGTAATACGGGCGATTCACAATATTGCGCCTCCAAGAGTTTGCAACGCGTTGGCCAATCACAACGCACGAAATTTGTCAACTTTTTTTCCAAACGCACATTGGGTCGATAGATTTCGCGCATTGTGATTGGCCAACGAGTTGCAAACTCTTGGAGGCGCACTGTTGTGAAATGCCCGTATTGCAAAGTTCGAGCGACGACTAAAATTTGACAATTGTAGTTCGACAAACCCCATTCGAAACGTTGGATAGTTTGGATGATCAAGTCGACCAATTTTTTGGAACCAGTGCCGGGGCAATGTTTTCATACGCTGGTTTAATATCAATAACAAATTTCAGTTACCAGTACGGAGGGAACCATTCACATAATAAATTGTATACGGGATGTGCAAGGGTTGTAGTCAAGCCAACGGAAAAACGAAAGGGTGGGATTTACAAAACAGTTCGAAGAGGGAAGTTCGAGTGTAATTGTGTTGTGCGTACACACAAGTACACGCGAACAGCTGCAGTTCGCCGCAGCCGAACTTGTCCTTTGCAGAAACACGTGACTGGTAAATCTACGATGTCCCACTAGTGCCCTGAAGCATAATTTTTTAAATGTGAAGCATACTTTTTCAAGTTCGCTTTACGAGACATATTTTCCACAGTCCGTCATATTGCTATACGAGATAAATATTTTCAAGTCCGTGTTAAAGAGACCAATTTGCCAAAGTTTGTTGGTTTTTTCAGATACACCTTTTCCACATTTGGTTTTTGGAGTTATACAATTTTATGAGATCTGCATGTTTTTAAAGAAACATTTAGGGGGGTTGCGAAATACTTTATTACGAGATATATTCTATCAACGTCATTTTTACGAGATATATTTGGAAACACTCGTTTAATCATTTTTATATTAGATATATTTTTAGATTGCACGGTATGCGTTGTCTAGTGAACAACTTGCCGGCCTGATACAATAAACACTCTATCCCAATACATCTCGTAAACGTCACTCTTTCAGAAAACAAATAAATATTTTTCTCTTTCAAAAATATACCTAGTAAAAACCAACTTTAAAAGATGTAGGCCTTTCTTTATAAAGATAGACTTGAATAAAATATATCCCAATATGTAGAAAAAAATTCCCCAAATTGTATTTTTTGAAAAAGGCCTAGCTCTCTTAAAAACGGACTTGCAAATCTGTATCTCTTAAAACGAATTTTGCAAAAACATTTCCACTTCACATGTTGAAAATGTATACCTCATGGCACGTTTGGGCATCCGTAATATGCAGTGCCAGATTTCGCACGTACTTTAAAATGATGTCGATAAAACGAATACGTTTTTACAAATCCAAAACAAAAACCTTAGTCAAAGATTAATCAAAAACCTACAAACACAGATATCTTTGTAGATCTCTATTCACCCCCTTTGTGTCTTACTTTTCCAGCCCTTATTTTACTGCGGTGGCAGCCTCATTGCTCCTAATTGGGTTTTGACTGCTGCACACTGTTTAAGAAAATGTCAAGCACCCAAGGTTAGGATATACACAGGTAGGGTATGGAGCAACGCATTCATGAATACGGGCGTTTCACAATAGCGTGCCTTCGAGAGTTTGCAACGCGTTGACCACTCACAATGCGCGAAATCTGTCGACCAGAAGTGCGTTTGGAAAGGGTCGACAGATTTCGTGTACATTGATTGGTCAACGCGTTGCATACTCTTGGAGGCCCACTGTTGTGAATCGCCATGCTGATAGAACAGTACACATATTAAGAAAGTGCATGACTTAAATAGCGCTCATGTGTCATCTTTAGTGCGAGTGGAACTCTGAATAATGCAGTGTGTCTCTGTCTCGTACACCACAGTGAAGGCCGAAGGTGGATTAAGCGTGTTAAAGACATGGCATAAAAAGTGTCTAAACTATAAGCGCCATTTTTACAGTGCAGAATTGGTTCAGACATTGGATACAACAAATACTAAACGTTTCACATTCTTGAAATGGGAACAGTATTTTCATGATTTTCTGGTCCATCTCGTGAAATTTACTATTCAGCCTGAAAACTCATGAAACATTTTTCTTCTGTTTCACATTGTATTTTTTTAAAATATCTTTCATAATTTAGATTCGACACTATATCATAGGCCTATATTAGGGTGCGTGTGGTAAAATGATGTGGCTGGTTCACCAGTAACTCGAATGCTTTCCCTTTGTTTCAGGTATTCTTGATATATACGCAGAATCACTCCGCCAATTTGACCAAGCCCAAGTGTACACCATTGACGCTCAAATACATCATGAAAACTTCAGCCAAGTCACATTTGATCACGATATTGCCCTGCTCAGGTTGAGCAAGAATGCTACACTCAGTCCCAACGTTAGACCTATTTGTCTGCCACAGCCAACAATGCAAGGTGAGGTCACCCATTCGCAACGATCCCAAAAATGCGGACGATGCGGACGGTCGTCGTGGTCCGTATTAAATTAAGGCGCCTTTTCAGATGTACGTTTTGTGGGTGCGTTGCGTACACGCTGCGTTCTTGCGTTTCACTTTCACGGACACAAAATCGACTCTGTTAACATTCGCTCTTTGCACTTTGCTTTGCACGCTGCTGCTATAGGCATGCAGAGCTGCGATCTCGATCTTTACACAAGCCGGTTCAGCGATTCCCGCGTAAGTTACTTCATAATACTGCGCGTGCTACATAGCTCTTAATCTTATATAATGCGATTGGATAATGAAATTATTCGAAAAGCTGCGTTGACTTCCCAGACGCGAGGTGGAATCGGCCAATGACGCGCTCCGATTTGTTTATGAATATTTATGAGGTGTAGTAACTCAACAAGCCCAAGGTCTTTCGGGAACAAAGCGCGCGAGTCAGCGTACGGCTACGCCGATAGGACAGATGATCACGCGCTTGCAGCTGTTCCCAAATAGCCTCGCACTTGACATGCGCTGTTAGAATACCAAATTGGCTTATACACGAGTGCGGCAAACAGATGCCGATACGGAAAGGGCGGACCAACAAGCGCACATAATCGACAGCCGGCCTTTGCTTACCCCCAACAAGTTTACTTGCGGAATAGAGGTGCACAAACAATGTTGACTTTTAATACCCTCCCCTCCAGTAATGTTCTGTTCTTTCTCCCCCTTTTTCGTCTCATGTTTTCTCAGACAATGACATAGGCCTGGCTTCTCAGGTTCCCGGCAAATGGCAGAACAGATCCCCCATACACGTTTACTTCAGAATAGGCTACTGTAGTTTATCTGATTTGTGATATCTGGGTTTGTGTGCCATTTTTTTCCCCAGATGACGCAATTTACTCAACAGACGGCAAGTCTTACGTTACCGGCTGGGGCCATACGGAAGCCTTCGATGTCAGCGTCGACGAAGGGCGGTGCAGAAACCCCAAAGGCATTACCAGTACGCGTTTCCTTCAACAACTTGCCATACCCTTGCGTACCAACGAAGAGTGCAGTCAAAGTTTCAGCAGCGGTCGCTACGAGTGCCGTTTCACCAGTGATTACAAACCCAACATGGCCTTCTGCGCCGGCTACCCAGATGGGAACCAAGATGCCTGTAATGGGGACTCCGGAGGGCCTGTCATGAGAGAGGTGGACGTCGGTGGAAGCCTACGATGGGTCCAGATCGGTATTGTCAGCTGGGGAGAGGGGTGTGCCGTAGAGGGTCGGTACGGAGTGTACACAAGAGTTTCGGCATACAAGGACTGGATTGAAGAGCATATTCGTCCAGCGGCGTTTGCAATAAGCCACTGAACCTTACATGAATATAAAGAGTTGCTTAAGCACCAACCGCAATATACACGTACTCAGACTTCATCGTTGCAACAATATTGTGCTGTTTAAGTTTGATGAAAGTGTGTAAAAACTCTTCTTAATATACTGCAGGATATATATAAAGGGTAGCTACAATCAATTTTTGTAGCAACACCTTCAAGTGCACGTGTCTGTCACGTTAAACCTTATTTTCAACATTTGTTTCACTGTTTAAAGGGTAATTTACTGTTTTTTATGCTACTGAGTATTTCAATATTCATGAGCAAAACTGTGATGTCATTCCAAGAAGAAAGCCTTTTTTCTCATTGCTGATTAATTATCGTTTGTGTGCATAGCAATATCAAGCAAGCATCCATCCCTTTCTCAGAAAGAGTTTCAGTGATTAAATTCTGGGTTTTCAGTTTGAACAGGAAAACCTGTGCACTGAACTACTTTTCCCTGGATGACATCACAGCAACAGCGCCCTCAATTGTCCGGGAACGCTTGGATAATTTTAAGTGTTTCAAGAAGAGCACATCCCAATGTATTTAACCGAAGAAGACCGTGAAAGCATTTCCATACATTAGAAAGGAGTACAAAGTTACCGAAAAATTGTGTCTGAGAAAAAGTCATTGTATCTACACTTTAAAGTTTGCGCCCGAGGCGGAAACTGACTTTCCAATCAGTAGCAAGCCGCAGTAAGATGCAAAAGCAGTCCCGAGACATTGTGGTTTATTATGGAACGAACGAAAATCCAGTTATCACAAAGCATATGAAGCAGGACTGTTCCTGGAAGTTTCTTGTTTAAAACTTTTGTCACAGACGATTATCGTGTTGGACACATTTGTGAAGGCAGTGATGTTGGGAAAACATGACGTAAAGCGAGGGTCTGTCTTCACAAATCGTGTGTACTCCATGCTTGATTAGTTTTTATTTGCCAACTGCAATGAGTTTTTATTCCACATTATATACCGAAAAAAGGGAGGTTTAAGCTTTACCTGATTCTTGCGAAGTCGGAAATTCAAAAGTAATCTCCATGATTGCTATGAGGGAACGACTTCAGAGTTTACGTCATATCGCCTGGTACTATTCCTTCCAATATGTCGGTGTGCTGAACACGGAATGACCCATATAATTTTTATACATATGCTTTTGAAAGGGTTTTAATTAATTGCAGTTTTACCTAAAGGCTGAAATGCAGATGAAACACCAGTATAAGGTTTATGTTGAAGAAGTACGCAGAAAGTCGTCTAACAAATTTGTAAGAATAATGCGTATGATACATTGTTGAATCTGAATCGTTTGTGCTTAAGTGTTACTCTGTTTTGAGAAGACAAATACTGAAGATACAATAGGCACCTCAACAACTTATAAATACAGATTTTTGAAATAAATCTAATTACGCAGAGTGACAGCGTAAATCTTTAAGCCTTAAATGCTTCAAACATTTGCAAGAAAGTTAATCCTTTTTTCTTTGATCCCAAGGGACTAGTCTTCGATGATGATGAATGAAGAAACCAATCGTACTAAATGCAAAATGCTGAAAAAATCGATCTAACAATCTCAACGAAATTTGTAATATTGTGTAAAGAAAAGGTGGGATGTGAATCTTGTTTGGCAGGGTGAACATAACGTTGCATTGGTTTAATACACTGAAAGTGACAATGGTTAATATGAATGCATGCATTTTAAAGGGCATTGAAACAGCTTCAGGCACTACCTGTGTAAAACAATTGTACTGTACAATAGGACACATGGATGTAGCATTAGACATGATATGTAATGCTTGAGCTCTAAGGCAGAATAACACACATATAATACGGGTGATTCACAATAGTGCACCACCAAGAGCTTACAACATGTTGGCCAATCACGATGCGCAAAAGTTGTCAACCCTTTCCAAACGCGCATTGGGTCGACAAATTTCGCGCACTGTGATTGGCCAACGCGTTGCAAACTCTTGGTGGCGCACTATTGTGGAACGGCCGTATTATGCAGTGCAGTGTTTTTGGAATGTTTGTTGTCTCTCTGTGCCACATGGCCTGAACATTTTTCATGACCCTAAACGGGGGCGGGGGTCCCCCTGACATTATCTTGAATGTCACCGGTAATGCACTTTATCCTTTACATTAATGTCTGGCAGTAATTTGGATACCGATTTGGGGAAAATCAGATGAACTGTTCTTGAGAAAAGTCCATTTCCTGAGACGATTCAACTAAATTAACGCGCTCAGTGTGCGCGGGCCAACACGCGCGCCAACACGCGTGAAGCAAAGTGACGACAACAGAATGGTTTGATTGATTTTGAAACTTCACAGATCCATTCAACATGAATGGCTTTCAGAAAAACAAGATCAAGGATATGACAGTTGAGCTTTATGAGCTATTTTGGCCGTCCCCTCCCGACGAGATGGTTCAAATAAAGTCCGGGTCTTCTAGGGTTAGATGTTGATACCATGGGCGAGTACAAGCGCGAACGAATAAAGGCCACGTCCCAATCTTAGGCCTCGTATACTGCAATCACTCACACATTTGTGTATTATGTCTTGAGTCAGCTCCAGGTCTTGGCCTGCCCTCGTACTGAAGCCTTAAGTTGTAAGTCTGTCGCAAACCCCCTTGAAACACAATCCCATCTTGACTTGAAGGTTTGCATATACCCGTATAGGACATACTCTTCCAGCTGGTGGTGAGGGAAAAGGGACAACTGCTTGACCGTAAAATGGAAATCGAAAAAAGAAATTCTTGAAACTAGTGATTTTCCAGTAAAGAGAGAGTTTTAATACGGGCGATTCACAACAGTGCGCCACCAAGAGTCTGCAACGCGTTGGTCAATCACATTGCGCGTTCGGAAAGGGTCGACAAATTTCGCGCCTTGTGATTGGCCAACGCGTTGCAGACTCATGAGGGCGCAATACTGTGAATCGCCCGAATTGATGCATAATGTTGCATTATATTAAATTATTTGTTTACGTTAATTAAGAAAACTTTGTTACGAGCTGCAATTCTACTTTTCTATGTATTCACCGTTTTAATTGATGAAAGATAGAAAAGATAGAACTAAATGAGGCTGACAAGTTCCAAGAAGCGTCAACAAGTCCTGTCAAAATCAGCTTGCGGTTTTCAGCATTAAAGTTAACGTATCAAGGTTTCAGTCGGGGGGGTGGAGAGATGGGGCACATTTGCCGGAACGATCCCTCTTAAAAGAATAAAAGCTAGACACGTCACTGCTTTTAGTCCATAAAAGATTCTGAAATTACAAAAAGGTCGTTACGAGTTGAAGGATTGGTCGTCTGTTGCATCTCGTTATGTACGAAACAACAGTGGCATAACTCACCGTGTCGTGCTTGTGAGCGCGACACAGTGAGTTATGCAAGTACGGTTTCCTTTTTGCGACGCCAAGGAGAGTGCGTATCGCGATATCGGGTGTTTTTGTTCTTTGATAGGGCAGGGCTGGTTAAGCAGCAGCCGGTCAAGAGAGGGCGCCCTTATCCACTTTTCAATTTCTCCGTTTCTCTCGTTTTCTTTTGATTTTAGTTGACCATTAACTAACTCCAAAGACAGGAATATTCACCTAAACTGAGTATGCCATACCCTGTTCGCATGTTCGATTTACCTCCATGGGGCGCCCCTCCTTTCGGCGTTAATGCCGGGTGCCATCGCTCCCTGAGTCCGAGTCTTTCCTTTTCTGTCAGCGGATGCTCCGTGCCACCCACCGTCGGAGGAGCAAAACATGGCTCTAGATGGTGGCACATAATCCTTTGGCAACTAAGAACACCGGTAAAAACTTGTAAACCCCCCAGTGTGAAAAAATCTCCTTCAAGACGACTTCATTCCAATATTGGAGTCGATAATTTGGCAATGAAAAATTGTTGTCGAGAAATTCGAAATGCTTTCTCCGGATTTGGTCATCCTTGGCTCTCGGGTCGTTTTGGAGTACTCCCTTACGGTACTGCCCCATTGCATGAATTAAAAATCTGTATAGTTCGCAGGAAATAAGCAAGTTCGAGCGACTACAGCTGACTTTAATTCGACTAACACTGCCTGGACGATGAAGGGCTTGAACTGTATCTAATCGACCATTTGGGAACAGGCTCAGGGGTATGGTCGCACCGCTGGTTATCAATAACTGATTTCATTTATCTTTACAGAAGGAACCATGCACATGAAAAAAATTGCGCAAGATTTCAGTGACCATGTACGCTCCGAGAAAAGCAAATAGCAGTCAACTGTGAAGTGTGAGTAAAACAACAAGATTTTAAACAGTTGACCGACTAGGGTCACTCGAGTGTAACTGAATTGTGCATGCGCATACGATCGACCTGTAATTCGCTCCCAAACTTGCTGTATCGCAACTGTCTGTGATCACAACGCAAACTTGGAAGGGCGCCCTCTAAATTGATTAACTTTGTTCTTGATTTATCAATTTTTTTATTTTTTTTTTCTTTTTTCTTCCTGCATTAAGAACACAAGTGGGTTCACCACCAACAAATACATGAATTCTGTTTGTTCAGTGAATATTCTTCTAATTAAAGCCACGTGTTTTATGAAAACTTTTCCGGTAGAGGGCGGAAGCTGATTTAGAAGTCGGATTGCGGACTTGTGATGACGTTTTCAGACGAACTGGTACTCTGTGATTTTGCGAATATGACTTTTACACGTGTATGTTGGCAACCAGCTAATACAGGAAATGCTGCACCGAAAAAACGGCGACCGCGTATGACGGGAGGAAAAGTTCTGGAAAATTTAGCGCATTTGACAGAAATGGAGGCGTGGAGAATATGCGCTGGATGGTTGGTACAGTGTGGGGCCTTACCCCCTACCCACAAATCAACCTGGGCCAATGCTCAGGTCTTCGATTTGGCCCAGACTTTGCGAGACGGCGTGGTGCTCTGTCAACTCCTGAACCACCTGAGTCCGGGTGCCGTGGACTTAACTCGGGATATTTGTTTACGGCCTCAGATGTCACAGGTAAAAATCCTCTGTTGACACTTTTTTGAAGCGCTTGAAGCACAGGGCCGACTTCGACTGTATTCCTCTGTATTTAACCTGTTTACAGTCTATGCATTGGCACTTATAATTATTGCTCCTAACTTTGTGTCTGTAGACATGGTAGAAGACAGACTGACATCGACTGAGATGACAGACATCATGTCAGGATATGACAGATGCAGTCACTTCAGACTGACAATTCACAAGCACAACTTCAGAAGTTTTCATGTTCATACAAGCATACAGAACTCCCTATACATAGAAAGAGTTCCACATACAGATAACACTTATTTTTCCTTAAAATATAATAATAGCTGTTAGAAAGTGATAACATGACCTAAAAAGTGAAATTTAGCTAGAAAATTTACTTAGAAAACACTCATTTTTTTTCAGACAGGTCTCATAGGGTTGTGCACAGGGTCTCAAGTGCTGGCCATATATATGGAGCTTTTCTTTCCATTGAGTCATGCCAAGTTCCCATTTCTGTGATGCAAAAGTTACACATGCTTTATTGTGTAACTCTCCTAAGCCGAGAAATTACTGTGTCGAATCGTTTCATGAAGGTTGGTTTTAGTGTTCTAGCTAAACATTGATGACATCCACCAATTTCAAAACTCCAGTGCTCTTTCTATATACTTCAAAGTGCACCAGGAAGTTTTTAGGATTTCAAAGATTGAGGAGGGGAAAGCTCAGCCACTTTCACATTTGACGTCATACGGCACCGGTACATGGACCAGCATAGATTTCACCATTGATTTCCTGCATAGAAGAGATAATTACATGTATATCCCTAACCAACCCCCTAGGTCCTTTTTGCTAGGGACCCTCCTCAATCCTCCAAAATCCTCCAATTTTGGGGGTGAAACAATTAGATTCTCCCTCAATCCTCCAAAAGTTCCTGGAAATCTTACTTGGAAGTGTTCCTACTGCCTCAATCCTTCAAAATCCTCTGTCAATTCCTCTCATTATGTTGAGGCAGTGCGAATGGCATTCTTGAGCACTGCGGTTGATTCAAAAGAAATTTGGGTTGAAGTTATGCTTGACTGAGCAAAAACAGCACAAGGTCTAACCCACGACCTTCACGCATGTCATCCTTTGCAATAAGCCATGCACTCTTGCCATTCACCCTCAATCTTCCAAAATCCTCCAAAACCACCCAAAGGACTTTGGAGGACTAAGGAGGGTTAGGGATATGGGAAAATCATGGGTTAGGGATATGGGAAAATCATAACTATGAAGGGCTTCTTAAAAAGGGAGCTGAACTAATGGAGCACATCTTTTTCTGTCACTTTTCACTTCCGTCGTGTTTGTTCCCTCACGCTTACATGTACATGTACCTGTGATGTCATAGATTTAGCCGAGCATGTGCAATATTTGGTAATAAACGGACAATCTCATGTTAGTTGTGGTGCCCAACTAGGTCAAAAGGTCATGCAGAAATTAAATTCATAACCTGGATTCCGACTGTCGAAAAAACAGACATCCCCACATATGTATCTGGCCTTTGTTTCACATTGTTTTTGTTGACTTCAGCCAAGTTGCCCCTACCATGCCTACACGCGACGTTTTTTCGAACTATTTACGAAATACACGTACTTGCACAAGACAACAAGCCAAGACTCGGTAGCCTTGCTTCAAGCATTTCTTCAACTCAAAGGCAATTTCTGTGCCGTGCCATCTTTTTCCTGGCCACAGTACGTGTACCAGTAGTTGCTCGTGATCGTAGCCAAATTTGTAATGCACCATTTGACGGCAGCGGTGCATGTACCGTAGCTTACAACTTGAACTCGATTGTTTATGGGAAAGACTTGTAATCTGATGTACACGTACTAGTACATGTATATACATGTACGTACATGTACATGTAGGTACATTTTTTGGAGGGAACTTAACGTGTAAGACTTTAGAGGCAAGCTTGGGGGGGGTCCCAGGTGTATGTATTTTTTTACCAAAGGAATGTCAGACTTGAGCTTAGGCTAAGTGTGCGATTAGACTTGATCTCACCAGGTCATCAAACTGAAATACCGGGGTAGATTAAAAAAAAAAAAAAGGAAAACATTCTTGAGATAGTGGCCCCAGCAGGATGCTATAGTCTACAGGAATATGTAATGTACATGTACCGGTAAATGTACGCATGCACTGTACCGGTACGTGTACATACATTGTACCATACAGGCAGTACGGGACCGGTACATGGTGTGCATTTGAAAGCATGCAATACCCAAGGATTGTTATCGGAGGAAATTGCTCAGCTCCAGCTCTGAGTTGTGAACATTCCTACAGAACATGTATACATGTACATACATTATGTACAAGCAATGAGTGGGAAAAAATACATTGCCATTCATGCACATGTTTTACCAATTGTTGTAATTGAGATCTGAACAGCACTTCATCATGCATACACATGTTATACTGCAGCGGTATTCATACCGCTGCAGTATAACATGCAGTCCACTGCATACCGCTGCAGTCCACTAATTCAAGCCCTATTGAAAACAGTGTAAAAGTGGCATTGCATAGGGCCCAATAACATGCATACCAACATTCCTGAGGTATCTGAAACAATTGTTAAATTATTGTATGGTCCCTAATCTTTCTAATTTCTTTTCAATTTTCTGTGGGTTAACGATTACATTTTGAGTAATTCCCGCAAAACAAAATTAACCCCCCAAAAGTGATTTTTCAAACGTCTGCTTGTAGCCATTTTTCAAGTGGCAATCCTCAACTTTCTCAGGAACTTAGGACCATTTTTCATCGGTATTTATTAGCCATTCTGCCCTCAGATGAAAGCCCAGAGAGCCAGGGAGTTGATTCTGGCAGAGATTTACACAATCTCACCACTTTAGGGGCCATAAAAATCTCCTTTTTTCAAAAGATACCGTGAGGGGCACTTTGAATGCTAATGAGCTGGCCAGAAATTCTCACTTGAATTAGTAGACTGCACCCCTACCATGCCTACCATTACTGTACATGTACAAAAGTATACATGTAGCTTGTACCCTATGCACAGTACATGTACGTACATGTACCGGTACATGTATACATGTACGTGTCCATGTACTGGTACAACATGTACGTACATGTATACCGGTACATGTGTAGGCCTACTGTTGCAGGTGGACACTACATTGTACATGTACATATACCTGTTCATTTACCGGTATGTACCGGGTACATGTATACACACATCCCAGCCTTAATTGGTCCTGAACCATTCTGTTAGGACTGGGCAGACCTTGGTGCAATCACACAGGGTACCTGTACATCAGAGAATTCACTCTTTAGTTGGAGCTTTACTTGGACAATGTGCACGTGACACCCACACATACAATGTACAACATACTGTACGGCATCCTACAGGTGAGCTGCCAGCATTGTGTCCCGACAAAGCCCGTCAGACTGTTAAGGGCAGGTGACCTCGTCTCATTCCAATTCTAGACAGTCAAGAGGGTGCTGTGCTGGGGCTATAATGGATGTGCCCACAGAAGCATGGCCACCAGCTTCATATTAATACAATGTGTACTTGAAGTGCTCCCTAGAAGAGACAGTGTACATGTATACATGTACATGTGTACACCGTCATGTACTGGTAGCATTTACATTTCAACTATTGTACAGTGTCTTGGAGTTTCCACCAACCCCACAGCGCCGGAACCTACAATCTTCCTAGATCCTTCAAGCTCTACTGACAACTGATGTACCGGTACATGTACCAGTACAGTAAATTCATTGTCTACGTGTACTGATGTACATGTACATGTACTTGTACACATGGACATGTCAACTTGGAATTTCTGGAAGATTTTGTGGGATCAAGTGAGCAGGAACCTACATGTACATGTAACTGCTGTTAATTTATGTACTGCCGCCTGTACATTTAGGGCTTGATTTCCCTTGAAAGGTTAAAGGATAGCAGCTGTGAATTTTATGTAGGTACACTTTTGCCATACTGCAACATTTATACACTTGTTCAGCATGTAGGAACTATTTGATACTATTTGACAGGTGCACTTTTTAAACATTAAAATTGCCTGTTCTTTCTTTGTTGATTGGGGGTGCTTTTGCTGTGATTTCATTTCAGGAAGACTCAGACGTACCGTAAGTTCGTTTCATATTTTGAACCAAGAATTTTCTCATTGAAAACATTTATCAGAGAAAGGATTGCTTGCTGTGCTTGCTTTAGACAACGCTGAAAAATTCAGAGTCTAACAAAATTCAGGGCAGCAAAATACAATGTACATAAACAAATTCAAGAGTTCTTTTGAGGTTTTCCCCAGGATGACATCACAGGTCTACTTATGAATATGGAAATTTCATTTGCATAAAAATAAATACCTGTACATGTAGGCAGTAAAATACCTGTTATGAGAGTGAAACAAAAATTGGAAATGAGAGTAATCAAGACAGAAAGGTGCATACGTGTTTGTGTATAAAAAAATTGTACTCTTCTGAAACCCTTTAAGCAAAAAGAACCGGTCCGGTTGGGCTCCTTTGCAGTTGGAACGATACACCGATATTTGAAGAGGTGTACAGTACATGAACATTAGTACCAGTGCATGAGTTCAGGAAGGTTCAAAATGAGTGCTCCAAAAAGTTTGAATCGGGGTTTATGACTAAAATAATACTTGGCAGGAACGTACATGTACACGTGCATGTACATCATACATGTTCATGTACATGTAC